AATTGTTTTGATAATTTAGCATTCACACTTACGCAATTTCCAGGTATTAAGTGTTATTATGGTTCTGGATTATTTTATTCTTAGAAACACAAAATTATTAATTTTTAGATCTGGGAAGAATTTCTGAGATCATCTTAGTCTATCCTGTGATAAATTTCACTAATAATTCATTACCAAGACAGTTAGTTACCTGATCTTCCTTCTACAAAACCCAAACTAATCCTTCAATAGAAAAATCAAGAAAAGGTCTGAGGTGTTCTACTACTTCAGCATAAATTAGTTCAGAGGAAAATTATGTCTGTAGGTAGCCTGTGGAGACTAAAGAAATCACAAAACAAAATGTTCTAATCATATATGATTGAATTTCAGCTTTTACTGGGTATTGTATGTTTCCAAAGCAAGTTCACACTATTAAAGGCAGCTTATACAAAAAACAAAACACAGATGTTTTCATAGAAAAGATATATTTTAGGAAAACAATATTTAGTCATATATATATCCCTTTTCAAAAACACTATGGTTTCTAGCAATGTTAGTAAACTTGGTGTTGAGCATGAATTTGCTTTGTTGTTGTTTGTTGTTAAGTGCTGTCAAGTTGATTCTGACCCATAGCGACCCTGTATAGGGTTTCCAAGGAGCAGCTGGTGAGCTTGAACCACCGACCTCTCAGTTCAAACGGCTTTGCAGTCTGGTGCAGAATTTGCTTTACTAAGGGTTTATTCACAAGTCTGCTTGTCTGTGTTGGAAAGGGGCTCTGGTCACTTTCTCTGGGGACATTATTTCTGGGTAGACTCTAACAGGGTTTTCTTGTAAAGGCAGACTTAACAGAAAAACAGGATCTATGTACATATATTAGGCAGCAGAGACACATTTATCCTTGAAGTAGCATGTTCTTGTTTATGGAATTTTCTATTGCATTTGATAAAGTAAATCATGTTTATTCCTTTTCGATCTTGTAAATCCTTGGAACATAGCTATACTCAGGAGCTATATTACCTCCCACTCTGGAGTAAACACCTAAATTGATACATAGGTATGGAGACTCCAAATGTCTTAGAATATAAAACTCAGAAGGGATGATAGATGCATTTATTCCTTCGTTGGAGACTTGTTCGTAAGCATTTGTTCTTATGTATTTCCGATTTGGCCTGTTTTTCTCAGTAGTAGTTTGCTTTCTGGGAAATAATGAGCTCAGACTGTAGGAGGCAGCCACAGAATTTATCATACAGTCATGAAAGGTTAGGTCTGAGAAGCTGAAATCCTAAAATTATGCAACACTCACATTGTACATATGAGAGGTCAAGTGACTTTTCAAGGAGTTAGTGAGAACTGAACATGAATTTAAAGATTCATCCACTACATCATGACTACCTTCTGGCTCAAGAGAAACAACTTTCAGATAGGAGTTAGAGGCCAAACGCCAAAGTAGGTTGTGTTCCCCAACTGCCTTCTCAGCCTTAACCTCAAGCATACTTGATATCCATTCTCTTCCTTAATGTGTCTTACATACAAGCCAACAGTAATGGAGCTCTGCATTTCTAGAATATATAAGATACCTCCTCTCTTATTCCATGTCTGCCTTCCTTAGCTTACACAGAGCCCAACATCGTGAGCCCTTTATAAATGCTTTTGGATGAGGACAATGATTGCCTTAGTCAATGTGGTTGGGCCCTACCTTACAGAGGAATAAAACCAATGGTTGTTGCTAAGCAACATTGAAAGGACTGGACTGGTTTCTGACACTGAGTGACCTCCATTTACGTACCTCATCATGTTGTGTGTTTTAAGGGTGCCTTAAAATGACTTTGTTTTTCATGGCATTGCCGTGCCCTTAGCAAAAGGCTCGTTATTTAGGCACGAGGAGGAGGAAGGTAGTTTTCATTTGTCAATTACTTACATGCGTACACAGATACCTTAGTAAGCTATGCAGGAAGGATGAGGAGTTTGGTTTATTCTCAACCTTGTGACCTAGAGTCACCTGCCTGCTCCTACATTGGGAATGGTTAATATTGCATGCCATCAGCATCCTCCAGTATGAGAAGAAAGAAGTCTTTCATTTCCTACCATTTTATTGTTTAGTTTCCACCCGTTCCTATCTTCTGAGCTAAGGAATATGTGTATAGCTAATAAAGAAGTGGTCTGGGCTGTTAACGAACTATTGTGGCTAACCAATACATCTGACTAGTGTATGTCTGTTTCTACTAGAATGTAAGCTGATTAAAAACATGAAACGTTTTCTTCCTCTTCTTAATCACCTCCCCAGTATATTGCCTGGCATATTTTAGGTGTTCAATAAATATTTTTCAAGAACAGTACATGGTAAATATCATAATTGACTCTAAATTGTTCTTTAAGTACTTCAAAGAATACCAGAATAATCAAAATAAAGATGATTGTTTGATTGTATCATTTGGCTAAGTCTAGCCTACTTATGAAAAAGATCATCTGTCGCTAAGCTTTTTTACAAGTTTTTTTTTTTTTACAAAGTGGTCCAAATAAAATTTGATGCTTTGTCAAAAGTTAACTGATTAGTCAGAAAACAAAACCAGTCTTTTCCGGCTTCTAAACCTTCAGTGTAACTTGCCTGTCTTTGGAGGCTTGAAAATAAGAGACCACTGTGATTGAACAGTTATGTCTTAAAAAATAAGTCACTTGGAATGTACCTGAAGTTCAAAATTGCACAGATGTTCAATAAGTAAAACACACTAGCTGGGTTGATTGATTCAGAGATCCCGGATTACGGTTACTAACATATTGTGTCATAGAAAACACATACATGAATAAGGTAGATATTAGAGGATGATTGGACCTTTTCAAGGACAATGGTAGTACAGTGAGCCAGTGGACAGCAATGCCGATGAGCATTGGCTTTACTGCAAAAGACCAGGTTTCCTGGGCACAGGCAATGGCATGGCTGGATCTGGGATGCTTGAAATGAAACCATTGTCCGTACAGGATGCACATCTGAAAGGGGAAAGCCTCACAGAAAAGAGAGCCAATTGCATGCGGGTGCCGTTGCCATGGTGCCTTGCTGTGCCTTTAACATGCTGTACTTGAACTCCTGGGAGTCCGGGGTGAGGTAATAGAGGAATGGTGAATGAAGAGTGTGGAATGGTAATGGATAAGGAGAGTCTGACTTCAGTAAGACTCTAAGTCTTTCTTCTTGCCTGTTTAATTAGACAAGGAAAAGGGGCAGGATAGAGAAAGAAAAGCCCAAAAGAAAAGGAGTAATTCCTCAACACTCCCTGGATTGTTAAAATCAAAATTTAATTTAACTCCCAAAGTTTGCTAACATGAATTAGAAGATGCAGCAGGAAAATGCAAAACAAAAACATAGTAATTCACAACCCCAATTCAACTTATCATTTGTTCAGCAACTAATGCTTTTTATATCCTGATACATTCTAGATCATAGATCAAAATGTTAAATGTACTTAATGTATTTGTGAAATGCAATCTAATATGCATATTAATGATCTGATGGAGCACAGAAAATGCCTTATACACTTTAAAAAAAAAAAAAATGAAACCAATCAATTCTATTCCTAGTTGTTTCATTGGGAAGGTAAGGTTAGTTTTGTCGACACACTGTTCGTTTGCAAACCACCTCTTCTAAAAGCTAGTTCTTTTTTTAAAAAAAATGTAGTATATGGAAAGCACTGTCCGGAGACATTTACAGTCTAATCAATTTCATTTATTTTAATGCTCAGAAAGTAAAAGGGTCTAATGCACCATCACTTTTAAACAATTGGAGTGGTGAAGCTTTGTGTAGAGGCTGAATCTGCAAAGCACTCCTCTCAGCAGTGGAGAGGGTTAAGGAACACCTAGTTGAAAGGAGGGAGTATACCTACTTCAGATTTACTTAAATATTCATGGGGCTGCCTCCATTTTAATCTTCTCCTTTTTAAAAGATGGCTGTGTTTCCCAGTCTGGCAACCCCTCAGGAAAGAAGAATTGCTCCTTCCTTGCAGAGTTCAGCTGAGCAGGACTAATAGAAAGTGGAAACCTCTTCGGCCACTGGGGCTATTCATAATTTATAAGTGCTTCACACCAGCCAACTGAATACATTTGGACAAGCTCTTGCAGAGCCTTCGTGCACTCCCTGATTTCATTACTGTCTTCTACCAGGGAACAAGCAGGGAGCAATAGGCTTCTTGCAAAACAGGAATCGGAAGATGGGCTTTGTTGGCATTAGGAAATGCCCTAAATTTTGGTGGCTTTGCCTTTTATAAGTTTTGATGATTTTACCACTGGATCTGCAGGGTTTTTTGTGGTCCTTTCCAGAGTGCTCTCTGAACTGTGAATTCTTTCAAAGGGATTTGTGGATTGTAGCAACCAGAGCATCTCAAAATGCCTGAGGCAAACTATTTGTTATCTGTATCTTGGGGTTACATCAAGGTGGGTTAATTGATTCTATTATGTGTCTTTGGTAGAATATGAAATATTTTCATGTGTATGTTTTCTGTAGAGCAGAACTCATCTGTAATGATGTAATTTGTGTTGTCAGTTCACTGAGGCTGCTTATTTTGAAATAAGGGCATGTTACACTTCATTGTATTTAAATGTTCTGTATTCTTTCCATTAATCTTATTCACTTTACTAAACTCTGTTTTTAGGGATGCTATGTTCCCCTTTTTTTCTCCTTAAACTTTTCACGTGTATTCTCCTTTTACTGGGTAAATGAATGATATTTTAAAGCTAATTTCTAATAAATGTATTTTTAAATTTACTTTCATGTTAAAGTAAAATGATCTTGACCGGTATTGAAATTCCTTTACTTATATATTTGCATCTCCCAAACAAAGCAAATATTAATTCCACGAAACTTAAAGAAACCTTTTTCCTAAGATGACACTGAAATAATTTTAAATTATATGTCACTTATCTAATGGTATCTGTTTGTCCAGTCTCTTGCTCTTTAGACAGTAAAGCAGGAAACATTTATAATGATAATGTTATTTTTTTTGTTTGTTTAATGCATTTTTGTTTCTTATGCACAGTTTAAAAGAATGCTGAATCGGGAACTAACACACCTGTCAGAGATGAGCCGATCAGGAAATCAAGTGTCTGAATACATTTCAAATACTTTCTTAGGTAAGATATTAACTGGGAAACTTGTTCCATAATGGATATTTTTCTATATTAATGTTTGCAATGCATCAGTGACATCCTTAAATAATTTTGCAGTAGGGTTAAATCACATAAAATACATTCAAAATAAGAAGTAAAGGTAACCTTAAAGGGGAAAAAAATTATATATATATTTGGAGCTCTGGTGGCATAGTGGTTACAACTCAGGCTGCTAACCTCAAGATCGGCAGGTCGAAACTACCAGCCGGTCCTCAGGAGAAAGATGAGGCTTTCTGCTCCCATAAAGATTTATAGCCTCGGAAACCCTGTACAGGGTCACTATGAGTCAGAACCAACTCCTCGGTACTTAACAACAACAACAACAACAAAATATAAATATGCCATAAAGTGATATTAAAAACAATGAAGAAGAATTAAACAACCCACCCAAGACAGAGATAATTAATGGGTTAATTGTATTTACATGAATCTTATCTGCTCACCCATTTCCACCTATGCCAAGACCTCTGATGGTTGGGGGGAGGGGTTCAGCAGTAGGGACAGCTCCAATGGCTCCTCTGATGGTATTATTTAAATGCTTCTAATAACTGGGCTTTGGGCAAAAAAGTTTCCTCCTAGGTGGTCTATCTATTGTTGGGGAATATCTCTAGAGAGATTGGATTAATGAGAATAAGCTTTGGAAACAATTTGACAATCTCTTTGCTAAATTATTTCTTAAAGACAAATAGGAGGAGGGAAGAGAAGAGATAAAAGCTTCCATGTCTCAAAGATTTTGTCTTCTGCAAGCAGCATTGTTGTCTTCCCAGTCGGAACTTTCATGTATGCTTTTCAGTTTGCCACATTGCTGGCATTTAATACATGACACTGATGAGAAATGGTTTACATGAATCAACTACTATCATGCATCCTATTTGATTACTATGGATTTCTGATCTCATGCTTAAAGGCAATTCTGTGTGTATCATCAACCGATTTGAACTCTATTTTGATTTAATAAGGGCCTCAGAATCTGCAAAAAAAAAAAAAAGTGAATGGATAGCATTTAGATCTGATTCTGTTGGCTTTCACTAAAGCTGTTAAACATTGCTAAACTGTATTTGATCAAAGGATCCCACTTTTCAGGAAACTGATCCATTCATAGCTATACATTATTGCACCTCCCTTCTTTTTTGGCATGACCACATGCCATTAAATCAATGCGCATTTCTTTCCTTGCCTTGACAAGCGTTACTTGCTTTGATGCTCAAAGGAAACACATATCTCTTCTGGTTTTATTTTAAAAAATCAATCCTGTCTCTCTAATGCCAGAGCAGTTCTTGCTATCAGCAGATCAATCAGCTGCCTCTACAGAGCCCAATATAAGGCTCACTGCATTACTCTGCAGCTGATTGGACACTGGCACAATTAACAAGTGCCTTTCCAATTGTCTCCGGTGTGTGAGTGTCTGAGGCACCTGTTTTTCTCCAGCTGCATCTATGACAACCTTGTATCAGAGAACAAAGGAGAAGAATTTTTTTTGTACAGCATAGCTCTACAAAAGTGGCTAGAAGCTAATTGAACAGAAAACATTACATATTGATAATTTTCTTCTCCCTTCTCCACCTTTATCCCTTTGAAGACAGGCATCTTCCACTAACCACTGCAGATATTATCTGTTCTGTACAGCACCCAATTAGTACTAATATTTTTTTAAAATAAATTAGAAGGAGTTTTAGGGTAATTTGATAGGTAAATGTCCATGATAGAGAGGGATAAATCAATACATGCAGTAAACACTTTTTTGTTTTCATAAGCATTGCATTTTTAAATGTCAGAACTTGTCCTTCTTCTAAAAGAGACTCCTACTACCAAAGTTAAAGGCACCTAACGTGCCTGAGCCTTCAATTTTTCAAGACTGGATTCAAGCAATTCTGTTCATTTGTAGTCTCTTTCACTGTTGTTTGCCAAGGACAACAAGTACTAATTAATCTTTTTTTGAATTGTCATAGGCTCTCAAGCTAGAAAACGAATAAGATAATAAAGATCAGTTCTCAGTCTCAACAACTCTTTCTTCAATATTTCATTTACTATTTGGTCCCATCTCCTGAGAAAAACAAAGTGTTTGGTTTTTTTATTGTTTCAAGGACAAGTTGTTGAGGAGGACTGGTAGAATCTCAGTCCTTACAAACTGTTAGCATTAGGACGGTGGTGTGTGTGCTTGTTACGTGTAGACCTGAGAGGACAGCAGAGATACAGAGTAGAATTTTAAATGTCCTTGGGAGAATATAATGAGAGCAGAAAATCATATAGACAAAAGCTGCTTCAGTTGCCTCATCTGTAAACTGGGAGCAATAGACTAGAAGATGCTCTAACATTCGATGGCTGTGATGTGGACTGACTGTCTAGCAGTTTTGCTAAAATGTACCTGGCAACCTGATGCTCTGTGATGGACTTAAAATTTATCACATTTAAAAACCAATAATCAAATGGAAGGAGGTGTTTCCAAACTACAAATGCAAGTACCATCTTGTGAGCAATGATTAGTGTTCCTGAAGGACCATGATGCCTTCTCATGGACTGTCAGATGCATAAGTGACCTAAGTGATCACATATTCGCATTTCCTTGTTTGGCCAGAGAGAAGATTGAGGCCCAGAGTGGCAAAATAACTTCTCCAGGGTTACTCAGCTAATCCAGTCCTACAACCGGGACTCTAGTTTCATGAATACCACACCTAAATACCCAATTTGTCCTTGGACTATGAAAGAAGGCTGTTATAAACTCAGAGAACATATGGAAGAAAAACACATTTTAAAGACTCTTAAAAATATGCAGATTATTCTGGAGAAAAGTCTGTAAGAATTAAGACTACAGGACTTAAAAATAAAGTATATTTATTAACAATTTCCAATACTATAAAAGATTCTTGTCAGATCATGGCAACCATCTCTGTTAGTACAACATGAAAAGATTTAAACTAAACCAGAAGAGCAATGTCTCAGTAACAGTCATTGCATGTCAAAATTTGTCATGCAAGGAAACGGGAAATCACTTGCTCCAAGGATCGGTAAAATTTGTGTTGTTCTCATCTCAATGGATGCTGCCCAGATGAACAAACAGCAAGCAAGAGATCATTCCCCAAATCAGGGACTTACCAATGCTCTTCTATGGCCCTAGGCAGCTGGGAACTGGTACACAAAGAAAAAGAAATGTATCTTACATCAGGGGAAGGGAGGCATGATCTAGCAGCCAGGAGCTTAGATAAAACACATTTTTTAAATGTCATATGACAATTTGGTAATGTTTTTCTTTGCATGTTTTATTGTGGTTTGGGTGAAAGTTTACAGAGCAAATAAGTTTCCCATTGAACAATTTATGCACTTTCTGCTTTGTGACATTAATTGCAATTCCAGCAATGTAGTAGTATTCTTTTCATTTCTTCTCTGGGCTCCCCATTTCCATTTGTTGGTTTTTTTTTTTTTTTTTTTTTTCTGCCTCTTCCTGCCTTCTGAACTTCTTTTGCGGGGTGGGGACAAATGCTGCCTTTTTAGTCTAAGGTTGATTGTTCTGAGAACCAAGTGCCTCATGGGTGTCACTTTATAGGTCTGTTTATTGTTTGGCTGAAAGGTGATCCCTGGAAGCGGATTCGCTTTCAGGTTTGAAGGGTGTGTAAGGGGCATAGTCTTGGCAGCTTGGTTAATAGTTTCATAGACAGAAGAAAACTACCATTCTTTCCAATCTCCTACTTTCCCTCTGAGAAGCTAGAACTTAGAATTTCAAGAAGCAAGGAAAAGTGCCTACTCATTTTCATCATTACAGGCAGGGAATTAGCAAGAAAAATACCCGCATTATTCCATTACCAGAGTTTTTGACATGAGCTTTTCTTGTATCTGATTTTTCTGTCTGTTTGCTTTATACTGGACAATGATTTTCCCACTCTATTCTGACCATTCAGTGAATTTAAAGTGTTTCTTGTGATTCCTTTAGTGTATGTTTCAGGTTATTTCCCTACTCTGCTGGGTAAGCATTAAACAGAGGAAATTCAGAATAGGGAAACCTATCAGTTGTTCCATTGCCTGCATTGGGGAACACCCATTAATGCCAAATTGGCACTTACTGTGAATAACGGCTTCCTTCTTTATTGAAATTTTCTAGACATAGTCATGGTTCAGGTCAATTACTTGCTGATGTAGGGAATCTTTAATTAAACAAAGGGGGAAAGCTGCTAGTCTTGCTAGTGATCACTCAGGAGAATCTAACAGATTCTTCAACCAGACCTGAAACATGGTGGTCGTGAAGGGCAGGAGCTACTGTAGCTTTTCATTTAGCATAAAGTAGTCATTATTAGGAGAAAAGTAGCAAGAATAAAAAGTAATTTAAAAAGTAATATAAAATATGGGTTTTCTGCCAGAGATTGTGAGGCAGGAAAGAGATTTTTAGCAGGAACTTCAAGACCTGGGCTCTATGCTTGGCCAGAATGAAGTCAATACAAAGTTAAATCACTTGGCCAGGAATGAAGTCAATACAAAACAAATGTCAGCTGTATAGATTGCCCTTTGAGCTTGGGTAAATTGGTGACTTCATCTGAAAAATGAGAGTGTGGGATTATGACTGGTTCCCAACCTGCCTGATCGTCAGAGTCACTTGGGAAGATTAAAACTAATACCGATTCCCTAGGTTTGGATGGTGCTCATGAATCTGGTTTGTTGTGGTTGTTGTGTTTAAGTTCCCTGGGTGCTACTGATGCTAAAGTTAAATTGGAAAGCACTAAATTAACTGAGATGATCACTAAAATTCCTCCCTAAACTGAAGTCATAGGCTGATGAGTATAGGAGCTCAGGGACACTTTAGAGGCAATACCAGATGTTAGTGACAGGGAGCCTCTAGCTTCAGCATGCAGCCAGATGGTGAGGCATGCAGGGAGGCTGGTCCTGTCTCAGTGTACTTGTTCTGCTTTGATGCATTACCCACAGAGACCTGTGAGCAGGCAGAGGTCTCTGGGGAGAACATGTGACTGTATCATCATCTCCAAGAATCTGAAAGATCCCAGCCTGCCATCTGGAAACACGTTTTTTTAAATGGAGAATTTGTCTATGCACTCATTTTCATGGTAACAAAAATTCATTGTCACTGAATTCATTGCAACCCATAGCAACTCCAGAAGACAGAGGAGAGCTACCCCAGAGGGTTTCCAAAGCTGTAAATCTGTATGGCTGCAGACTGCCGTATCTGTCTAGTGGTGGGTTTAAACCATCAACCTTTCAGTTAGCAGCTGACCACTTAACCTTGTGTGGCACCAAGGAGAGGCACTTTGGAAAACTGCATTAACCCTTTCAGTCACAGGGTGTCTTTTAGTTCAGTAAAGTGGCTCTTACCCAGTTTAGTAAATGACTGATTGCTTCAGTGTGCTCACAGGCATCCTGTGCCCTGAAGGAGTTAATGCACTTTTTCCAGAAAAGCTCAGGATCCATCCCCTGTGATGTGAAAGTAAATATTTGCTTGCTGGTATTTTTAATAGCATAATATAAAGGAAAGAGTTTCTTGGAGCAGGAAGGCATGTTTTCACTAATCCCTGCTTCGTTGTTACCAAGTTGAAGCAAAACTTTCCTTTAATTAAATGAGATGATTATAATATTTAATAATCATACCTAATTTAATCAATGCAATGTGTAATACATATGAGAAGACTTGGTATTATTATTTATTAGCAGAACTAGTAGATACAACACAAGAAAAGACTATGGTCTTCCTGTAAACCACAATTCAAAATCAATCATGGCTTTAAAGTAGTTGTTTGAAGATTATGAGCCACTTATGATATAGATATTCTTCATCTAAACTGAACACAGCTAATGTCATTTGGGTTTTTTTAAATAAGAAATAAACAAAAGTAATAAATTACAGAGTAGATTACAAAGTCTGCTTTTATAAACTTGACTTTACCTACCTTTTTGATTATACAAGTTAATAATGTTAACCACTTTAATAAAAATCTACCTGCAAATATTAATGTTTCATACTGTAAATACACAAGTGTTGTTGTTATTAAGTGCTGTCGAGTTGGTTCCGACTCATAGAGACCTTGTATAGGGTTTCTGAGGAGTGGCTGGTGGATTTGAAATATATATCACCTTTTCTGTTGCAGACAAGCAGAATGATGTGGAGATTCCATCTCCCACCCAGAAAGACAGAGAGAAAAAGAAAAAGCAGCAACTCATGACACAGATAAGCGGAGTGAAAAAACTGATGCATAGTTCAAGCTTAAACAATACGAGCATCTCGCGCTTTGGAGTCAACACGGAAAACGAAGATCATCTGGCCAAGGTGTGTATAAACTAAGGGTGTGTGCCCGTAGCTCTCTGCTGTGCAATGGAGAGATGCTAAGAATTACTTTGCTTTATTGTTACTTTTTTTATGATCAGAAGTTGATGGGGCCCCTTTATCCATTAAGGGGACTCTCAGTTGAAGATTTGTCTACCATACCAAAGGACCATTTTTTGTACTGAATTGGGTGTCCCTTGGTAATGGATTGTTGTTGTTGTTGTTAAGTGCCGCCAAGTCAGTTCCGACCTATAGCGACCCTGTACAGGGTTTCCAAGGGTGTAAATCTTTACGGGAGTAGAAAGCCTCATCTTTCTCCTGCGGAGCGGCTGGTAGTTTTGAACTGCTGACCTTGTGGTTCACAGCCCGATTCGTAACCACTACGCTACCAGAGCTCCTCACAAATGGAGGAGACTGCTGAAGAAACACTGGGAGGGCCCAAAGGGCGGCCAGGAGATAGAACTGACTTCATTCTTGACAAGATTTCAGAGACTGTGTGCCAAGAGTCGATGGGAAATTCTGTACTAACTGGGAGAGTTGGAGAAGAAATGATGAGAAATTGACAGCACTGACTTTTGAGCCCCAATCCCAATAGTGAAGGATAGCATGTTATTGTTGTTAAGTGTCATCAAGTCAGTTCCGACTCATGGTGAACTGCGGAGGGTTTTCAATGTGGGTTTGCAGGATTGCATAGAAAGGATTTATACCTTCTCTAAGCAGCTGTACAAGGCAACTACTAAAGTTCTCTCATCCTTGTGAGATTATGAAATGAGCTTAATGTGAGAAACAGCATTCGTTGAGACCTTCTGAAAACTATTATTAAAGGAAGGTTAACAAAACACTGGACCAAACCTCTGAAGTGAGCCCCAAACCCTTACTCTAGGCAATAGTTATGAATGGGATAAATTGCTTCTTGAGTCAGAAAACCCTAAAATAAAATACATCCCTCATAACCTTTTGCATGTAAAGGTTTTCCCCTAAATTGAGGTTGTCTTATGCACATTCTAGTAGCTGAACCTCTAACTTGGCTCTTAGTGATAATAAGAAGTAAAGGGGAAAAAAGAATTTCCCAGATGGTTGTTAATAGGCCAGTGAGCAACATGATAGACAGGAAAATGGAGCTAGAGTGATCTCTACTCGCTTGCAGACACTTTTGAATGCAACGTTGGTGGAAGGCTGACATATGACAAATACAAGCCAGCAACTAAACTTTTAAATAGCATACACATTTTGGGGGTTCAAAAGTCAAGATGTACAGAAGCCAGTAGCTAAAATGAAGAAGACACCAACTGCCCTAGGCCATTTCATTTCAGATTCTCTAACAACTGGAGCACCCTAGAGATTTAGGCAGTCATTACTCAAGAAATTAAAGAAAAGTATGAGGTGTGGTAACAAAATTGTCCCTATCCCTAAATCCCTCTTAACTTTTTAATTATAGGAGCTTGAGGACCTGAACAAATGGGGCCTCAACATCTTTAATGTGGCTGGATATTCACACAACAGGCCTCTAACATGCATCATGTATGCCATATTCCAGGTGAGTAAACAAGAACAAAAGTTGCCTGTTCGATTGGATTGCTATTTATGAATTTATTTATTCCATTTTATTTTCTAATTTGACTATTCTCTGTTTTTGAACATCCATTTGTTATGTTTTAATCCACTTTCTACATAGGAAAGAGACCTCCTAAAAACATTCAAAATATCCTCTGACACATTTGTAACCTACATGATGACTTTAGAAGACCATTACCATTCTGACGTGGCATATCACAACAGCCTGCATGCTGCTGATGTAGCCCAGTCAACCCATGTTCTTCTTTCTACACCAGCATTAGACGTGAGTAGTTATGGTTTGTTTTCACACCTTCCCGTCTTCTTTTAAAAGGGCTGTGCAATATGTAGTGCATTTGCAAAATTAATTAGGTAACTGCATATTGCAACTGTTATGAAAGTTCTTTATTATGTCTATTTCAAATCCACTGTCATCTAGTAATTACAACTCATAATGACCCTATAGGACAGAGCAGAGCTACTCCATAGGATTTCAAAGGTGGTAAATATTTATGGAAGCAGACTGTCGCATCTTTCCCTCATGGTATGGCTGGTGGGTTCAAACTGCCAAACTTTTGGTTAGCAGCCAAGTGCTTCCACCACAGTGACAATTGTTGTTGTTGTTGTTGTTATGTGCCATGGAGTTGGTTCCAACTCATAGCGACCCTGTACAGGGTTTCCAAGGTTGTAAATCTTTACGGGAGCAGAACGCCTCATCTTTCTCCCATGGAACCGCTGGTAGTTTCGAACTGCTGACCTTGAGGTTAGCAGCCCAACTCGTAACTACGCTACCAGAGCTCCTTACAGTGACACTAGGGCTCCCTTAATATACATAGCATTCATCAATTAGTTATTTATGAAAATGGATGACAGTTCTTTTAATATTAGTGCAAGCTTTATTTTGCATACCTTACAAATCGAAAATTATTCCATTTTCAAGGCATTAACATACTCTCCAGGGCAGAAGCAATAGCTTACTCTTCATGGTATCGCTAGTATCAAATAAGTATAGCTCATAGTATATTTTGGTATATAGTATATTGAGTGTTCTTGTACTGATATGAAATGCCCAATTCCATAGCAGGCACTATGAGAAAATATAATATTTTCTTTATTGTTCCTGTTAAGGATAAGGATCTATAAATTATCCTCTTAAGAGTTTATGAAACTGATTCTATGGTTTGAAAGAAAAAAGTTACTGAAAAATTTAGGACAGAGAATTTAGTATTGCTGAATTTAGTATTTGGCAGTGTTCCATCTTGCCAAATAAGATCTGAAATGGTTGCTAGGATGCTGTCCCCTTACAGATTAGTGCATTTCATTAATTAATTATTTAATTCATTTCATCACTGTGTCCAGCAGGTTATGATTTTACTTGACAGACAGGGCAGATGGTGGTCAAGTATTTCCAAATACACTGACTCACTTCAGAAAGGGATGCATAAACCCTCGCCAGGCCCACTCTTTCCAGCTCAATTTGGGAAGTGAGGAAAGATTAAACTCACCACAACCCCATTGCTTGGGTTCCATGTTTTCTAGAAAAAAGAAACCCAAGAAGATTGAAGATGTGAGATCAAGCTAAGGGTGTTTTATCCCCTAAAGGAAGGATATAATATTATGTTGATGCTCTGTACAAATATCCCATAGTATGTCAACACTGTTCATTAACTATACTCTGCTGTTGATAGACTATCTACTGTGTGGCCAGGAATTCTCTATGAGTGGCACAGAAGTTTAGAATAGGGAGGGCTCAGTGGGTCTTGGAGTAATTAGATTTGTTGTCATGGGACAAGTAGAAAGTGACTTGGTATAGAGGATGAGGAAAGACTTTTTTTTCAGCTTGGGAAACAGCAGTGATGTATACCTAAATAAATACAGGGTTTAAATCATTGAGCATGGGGAGGGGCAGAAAAGCCTTCATGACATAACAAGTTGAACAAGGGGTGTTAGGTTTGACTCTTGGAAATAGTCTCAAATCTTGCCCATAGTAAGCAATCAAAAATATTGAATGAATGAATGTATTATAGCTTATGATTACACTATTAATTTATCTTTGGGAAATAATTTATTGTTTGTCTTACAACTCTGTAATTTGGTCTTTGTTCTCTAAATTATTTAGTTTTTAAAAATATGAATGTGGGTAAGTCTCAGAGCAGGGCCAGTTTGGCTTGCTTCTTTGACTTGCATAAGCATGATGCTGACATACTACTTATCCAAGAAACAAATAATACATAATTTACATAAACCATTGACATCATGCTAGTGCCTTCCCAAGGCTTGTCCTGAAGGCTTGATTTGGGAGAATACATTCTGACCATTACCCCTTTCACTTCAGAGACTAATTATGATGAACAGAATTGGACATTTTAGTATAATTAACATATTCAGATAATATGTAAATCAACAAAGCTTCTCTCAATAAGAATTCAATGGGAAACTTTTAAAATGCAACTGACTAAATCAGATGGGTGAATAGGATATGAAGTTAAATGCCCTCATTTTGCTCCCCAGGCTGTCTTCACAGATTTGGAAATTCTGGCCGCCATTTTTGCAGCTGCTATCCATGATGTTGATCATCCTGGTGTTTCCAATCAGTTTCTCATCAACACAAGTGAGTTCACCACTAGAATAGTCATTTGAGATAATTGTATGATTCATTGCTTATTTTTTCCCTCTTAATGTTTTCATTATGGATAATAGCAAGAATAATAATGATGTAATCCTTTTATTTATTTTATTCCACACAAAGTGGTCAAACCTTTCCTGGATAGTGTGTCCAATCTGGCAGCACAAGTTTTGAGCTTCATGGAGCACTTGGAGAGTTTGGAAAATATGATATGTGAGGAAAGAGTAACAGATGTGGAATCAGCCAGGAACGACAAGAGATAATATGATGATGGTTTTTAGTAATATGCAGGGCTCACACTCAGAGCATAGTGACCCACTAAGTACCCCTTTCTGCTGAGGAAGCCAACTTAGATGTTGGATCTGAGAATGGGAACCCCCAAGCAGAAATAGTATGTTTTTTTTTTTTTAAAAGAAAAGAAAAATAAAATAGATTTCCAACATTCAAGAGGAAGGGCCATTAAAGTTCTACACAACTTTCTTCCAACAGAAAAGTTTTGATTTTGGATTGGGTTGTAGCAGAAAGGGGGATATCAGTGACATTCAGAATTGATCCAGCCTTAGAATCCTATGCTATACCCAAAGCTTTTGTCAAGTTCAAAATACTTGGTTTCCATGATAATAAAAATTTACTAATTTTGTCAGTTCATGTACTGTCTCTCAGTGATGAAAATCTAAGTACTCTTTTGGTCTGAAAATCTTTGTTATTCCCTTGTGGTCATGATTAACATCAAGTGCCGAGAGTTTGATAGAAATATTTGCACAAATTCATGTTGTAAAATAGTACTTGTCATGCTTTATCATCAGAACATTTTAGTGATCTAGATTTTAAGTACAATGCCTTTTTTTTTTTTTAATTGTTGTTTTGTTTTTACCTTATTCTTCTATTGAAAGACCATAAACTTGGGCACCTACTTTCCTGTAAGGGTTAAATCATCTGGTATCAGTGTGCTGCCATGAATCCGTTCATAGACAGGCCAATTTTTATCATACAGAACAAATGGCCTTTCTGTCATAGCTTCCACAGCACTACAACACATAAAGCTAATTTTCAGAGTTGTGCCTTGATTATAAGGTGAACAGGGCAAGAGTGCTCATGTGAATATAGTCCATTACCCTTCAGTGTACAGAACTCAAACATTCATTAAGATCTGCCATATTAGTTAAAAAACCTGCTCTTAGTAACATATTACTATCACTCGCCTAGTATTCTTAATTAAGCTTCATGATTTGATTTTTGGAAATTGTAAAGTCTGGAATATAGAGACAGAAAGAATATTTGGCAATAAGACAACTCCAAAAAAAAAAAAAAAAAGTTATCGTTTAGTAACCATACTTATAAGAAACACCAAAATGTTGCAATATTTAAATAAAATGCAATTCTGCATGACCATTATTTTTTTTTTCAAATCCCCAACTTTTAATGATAGAGTTTTGGGAGTATATAAAAAAAGTGAATATCATTTGAAAATCTTAATCAATTTGAGAAACTTTAGAGGCAATTTTATTTTGTTCATTTCCAAATTACAAAGTGTGGAAAAACATACAGGAAATTATAGTCTACAATAAAAATAGGAGTTAGTTGCTGGGGAATACCCTTACCTAATGTCATAGTCTCCATCTGAAATGAAGACAGAGAGTAAAAGGTTTTTAAAAAGTCAATGAATTCTAATGAAAAAGGAAGCACTGATATGTACTGGAGACCTGGTGTGACCTTGCAGGATAAACACTGGACTACTAACCACAGTTCAAACTCACCAGCTGCCCCTTGGAAACTCTATACATGGTTGCTATGAGTCGGACCCAACTCAATGCCACTTAACAATAACAACAATATGTACTAGAAGCTTTTTTTTTTTTTTTTTTGCTTAGTTACTGACTACTTCTTTGTGAAGAGAGATTTCAAAGGGGTGATGGCATATGGATCATTGTTCTTGAAAGCATTTGGAAGGAACTAGATTGGCATCACATTGTGGTAATGCCAATGTTTGAATCTTATCCCTTTTCATTAAGCCATCATTCTTTCTTATTCATTAGATTCAGAGCTTGCTTTGATGTATAATGATGAATCTGTCTTGGAAAACCACCATCTTGCTGTGGGGTTCAAACTGTTGCAAGAGGAGCACTGTGACATCTTCCAGAATCTCACCAAGAAGCAGCGTCAGACGCTTAGAAAAATGGTTATTGACATGGTAAAATCTCAACCTCTCTTTATTCCTCACTATTTTTCCCCATAAGAGGGGAAATTCCATTTTGTCTGATAGACTGAGCTTATTAAGAGTTTTCCTTTTCATTTAACCCAAGGTGTTAGCAACTGATATGTCCAAGCATATGAGCCTGTTGGCAGACCTGAAGACAATGGTAGAAACAAAGAAAGTCACCAGTTCAGGTGTGCTGCTCCTGGACAACTATACAGATCGCATACAGGTATTTGATACAAGCCTTTGATCGTAGATAAGTATTTGATACAAAGCCAAACCAAACAATTAAAGAAGAAGACAAACAGGGTATTTGAATCGCATGGCTTAAGTTACTAGAGCTTTGGACTTATTTGAAGAACAAACTAAGAAATAGTGGACATTTAGATTTATTTTGTAATTTATGAGGAAAAACATAGCCAATTCCTTGAATTGCTTCATTCTAAAAATAGATGGCAAAAACTATTTGTAATAGGGCATACGTGACTATTGGTCACAAAAGCTCATGTTTGGACATAAACCCCATTGACTTGAAGTTCGTTAGGTCTGTTTTGGTTTTACAAATTGCCATCAGCTGGTCTTTTCTTTCCATGAGTGGAAAGTCTGCAGGCATCTACTTTGAGTAATTCTCTGCATTCTTTCCAAACTGAGAGAAAAGAATGATAGCAGCATCTGACTTAAAATGTCCCTTCCAATTTTAAAATTCAGTGACTGTCTATATAAGAAGACATACGTTTCCTCTTTGGGACTCTGTAATGGTAAATGACAAACCCTGGCCATCACCATTGTAATAATGCTTTTTTTGGTGTACGTACCATAATTACATTGCAACTAAAATGTTCTTGGGTTTAGTACCAAGTGTACTAGTACAAGAGGAATGAAATGTTCTGGTAGTATTTACACCTAATTTCATGAGATGTTTTAAAATTTGATAATTTCAGGTTCTTCGCAACATGGTACACTGTGCCGATCTGAGCAACCCCACCAAGTCCTTGGAATTGTATCGGCAATGGACAGACCGCATCATGGAGGAATTTTTCCAGCAAGGAGACAAAGAACGGGAGAGGGGAATGGAGATTAGTCCAATGTGTGATAAACATACAGCGTCTGTGGAAAAATCCCAGGTATCTAACATGAGGTTTTCATGGTTTTTGTGAGCTATGCTGTTTGCAGTGCAGGGCATTTCTATCTCCTTTCTTTATTTTAACAGAATATACATATATATGTATATATTCTGAATTGAAATTACAAGGAAGCAATTACCCATTTGGTTCCATTTTATTCGTGACCCATTTGCCTTTTCCATTACACTTTATTTCCCAGGGTGGGGATAAAGCAGTCATCAAAAACCCATCAAAATTTGGACTGTGTATCCCCTAACAGTTTAGATAATTTTCTATGACCTTAGAAATCTAACTAGGTCAACTGGATGTTGCTGTCTCCTCCATCTTGTCTCCATCCCATCTGTCTCTGTTTTTCCCAAGTTGCTCTTTATATAGCAGCTGTACTCCTCATCCTTACTTCCTGCAGCCTCTGTTTCTGTCTATCCCTCCATAGTGAAGCACCACCACCTGAGAAAGTGAATCTTACTCACATACATCTCTTCCACCTCAGTGTCCAAGCACTGACTGCTGTCTACTTACATGGCTCCCTCTATGCCTTTGGAAATAGGGTGGCATTTTCTGGTTGATTTGGCAACTGGTGTGTTCAGGCCTGTAAATCCCCTTTATAGTGAGAACAGTGGACAATACTTTGGAAATCAGGGTTGCAGATCCCAATAGTTGTGGAGTTTGTAGCACAAGATGATATTGGTATCATATCATTATAAAGGCTCTGGATCAGTTGAATTGTCTTTTTTTTTTTTTTTTTTTTAGGACAACAAATAGTCTGAGTCAGATGACCATGATTGAGAATAGATCTATGTTGTTGTTAAGTGTTGTCGAGTCAATTCTGACCCATAGTGACCCTATATAGGGTTTCTTAGGAGCAGCTGGTGAGCTTGGACCACTGACTTTGTGGCTCAAACTGGCATTGCAGGGCAGCGCATTAACCCACAGCGCCACATTAGGACATCTTATCACAAAAGTATTTGGAGTGTCTTTTGTTAGTGCTTACCTTCCTTCCTTACTACCTGAAAATACCAAATTTAAAAAGCAATTTATAGCTCCTTTACAATTATTACATTGTCACTTAGAAAAACTCAATTAAATCAAGTTTTGTTGCTGTCAAGTGTCATCAATTCAGTTCTGACCCATAGCGACCCTGTATAGGGTTTCCAAAGAGAAGCTGGTGAGCTTGAACAGCCAACCTTTTAGCTTAAATGGCTTTGCAGTCTGGGGCATTAACCCACAGTACCACACCAGTACTTCAAAATCAGGTTAAGACCTGTGAAAGTGTTCTAAAATCTAATATGCTATAGAAATGAATAATAACATTAAGTTAATTAGGATCAATTAAAATAACCCACAGCTATTATTAGAATAAGATATAAATCAATAAAGGGATATAATACCTTTATATTAATAACAGTGAGTTAAAAATATTTATATGATCTGTGTGGCTTCCTCCTATTTTCCGTACATTATCTTATTTAGAGCTCAAAACAGCCGCATGAGATGGGTAAAGCAGGCATGAAGCAGTTCTCTTGGTCTCGTCTACCAGCCCCTTAATGACGCAACTACCCTCAAACCTGGTAGCGCTGGTGGTGGCTATGGAGTCTGTTCTGACTCATAGTGACCCTGAATAGATTTTCTGAGGAAGTAAATCTTTACAGTATCAGAAAGCCTCATCTTTCTCCTGTGGAATGGCTTGCAATTTCAAACTGCTGACCTTGATATTAGCAACCTGACTAGTCACCACTATGCTTAATCTCTGTCACTGTGGGCAGGCTTTCTTGTTGCCATGACATCGTCATCTACTGTAATTCCGGCTGTTGAGTCCTTAACTAAATAGTCTTGGGATTTGTAGAGTGCATTCATCCCATGACCTAGGAAGTATGCAGCTAGAAGCCACCTTTCAAAAGAGTACCAAGTGTTTCTTAGCAGAGGTACAACAATTGAATACGGAAGTGATCACACTGTGTTGAGTTCATTCCGTTTTCTCAATTGACTTGAGTTTGCTCTTCTAAGTCCCTGGAAAACACCTTAAGAATCATATCTAAAAATCCATTGAACACACATTAAGAAGTGAAAGGGGAAAATCAAGGAGTGGGTGGAAGAGAGATATAGGAACCATCCATGGTCAAGCTTTGATGACCAGTACAGATTAGAGATGCCCTGGCTTTGGTGTGAATTCTGTTTGTTAAGGTCAGAGAAGTCCCAGAGAGAAGTTAAATATCTATTTAATCAAGCTTGACCAAGGTTTGTCTGTTTGTTTAATGTAACACAACTTGGATGTATTAAATAATTGGCTAAATACCAGAATGATAATAAAGAAAAGTTTCCAGGGGTGTAGAATGGTAGCTATATGATATCCCCTTGGAACTAGTAAGTTGCCCTTCCTCAACATTCCCTGATTCTCTCCAACTCCCCAGACCATGACAGGGGAATTCCGTTCCCTCATTCAACTAGCTCCTATTCTTTCTCTCTACCTGCCCCTGCCCCCAGTGTTTCCTGTTTGTCCGACAATGTGGAGGTCAACATAAGGCCACATAGCTAGTTCATGCAGGATGCATAGCCCCTGTCTAAATCATAACAGAACCATAAGCTCTATGTTTATTCACAGGAACAGCAGCAAAAGGAACTGCTTAATTGTTTTTATTTTCCCTTCTTTCTCCTGATAGTAATGACTGTGTGCACTATGAACACAAAGCAATTGCAGACGTGTCCACAGAGGGACTATGTTTGTTTAGAGGCTTAAAGTATTTTCCAGTGTTTTGCCAAGCCTGTCTATAAGCCAAAGCATTGCACAGAACTTGAGACATTCTAGAGTAGTTAGGGCCTGATTGTCCATCATTCATTTTGGGAAAGAAGCATATTTAAAAGTTGTCAGGGAAAGAATGTTGAGTCAGAGCATGTTAGACCTAGGACTTCCTTCTCCAAAGGATGATTCACAGAATCCAAGTAGTGACAAAGTCATTCCTAACCAGAGCTAATCCAGATTTCTTACTGGAAAACATAAAAGGAAAAACAGTTGTCGGTAGTGAGAGGAATACAGGTTTTGAATCAGATTTGGTCCAAGTTCTATTAGTTACTATCATGGAACCTTGAACAAGTCTTAGTTTCCATCTGTGTAAATGGCAGATTGTGGTGCCCTTGAATCTGCTCCTTTCAACTCATAGTGAGCCAAGCACAACAGAACGAATACTGTGTGGTCTTGTGCCACCCTAACAGTCGTTGCTATGCTTTATTAACTTATTGTCACAGCCAACGTCACAGTTCATCTCACTGAGGGTCTTCCTCTTTTTCCACTGACCCTCTGTTTTACAAAGCATGATGTCCTTCTCCAGGGACTGGTCCCTCCTCATAACCTATTCAAAATAGTTTTCCAGTTATACTTGCCATCCTAACTTTTAAGGAGTTTTCCAGTTATACTTCTTCCAAGACCTACTTGTTCGGGATAGATAATGATACTTATTTTGCATGATTCAGAGAGTTATGAAGACATTTCATCTAGTGCAGAACCTTGTTCAAATAACGGATTCTGCTACTACTGATCTCTCCATTGCTATTATTGCTCTTTCTTTGCATGAAACGAGGACAGGTACTTTGGTTTTGATGGACCCATTACAATAAAGGATGTATAACCTTATTTTGTTTTTCCAGGTTGGTTTCATCGACTACATTGTCCATCCACTGTGGGAGACCTGGGCAGATCTGGTACAGCCTGATGCTCAAGACATTCTTGACACATTAGAAGATAACAGGAACTGGTATCAGAGCATGATACCCCAAAGTCCCTCCCCACCATTGGACGAACAGAACAGAGACTGCCAGGGTTTGATGGAGAAGTTTCAGTTTGAACTTACCCTAGAAGAAGAGGACTCAGAAGGACATGAAAAGGAGGAAGAGGGCCACAACTACTTCAGTAGCACAAAGACACTTTGTGTGATTGATCCCGAAAACAGGGATTCCCTGGAAGAGACTGATGTGGAGATTGCAACAGAAGACAAGTCTCCAATTGACACATAATCTCCCTCTGTGTGTGGAGATGAACATTCCACCCTTAACAAGCATGCCAGCTGTATGGTAGGGCCAGCCCACCTTGGGGGCCATGGCCTGCACAGGACAAGGGCCACCTGGCCTTTCCAGCTACCTGAGTTTGGAGCCAGAGTGAAAGACCGTGAAGCAAACAGCAGTTCAGGAAATTCCATGGTTGACTTGCCTTGCTTGCAAGTTTTGTGGAGACCTGAAGCTTTCTGTGGTACTGGACGTCATTTCCGGTCGAGACGAAATGACTTGAAAATGGAAGACACAAAGCTGAGAGATTTTTGTGCACTAAGTGTTGGAAATCTGTCCCTTCTAGTGACTGAACTTATTAATAACATCAGTTATAAATCTGCTCACCTGTCCCCTTGTCTGCCAACCTGTGTGCCTTTTTTGTAAAACATTTTCATGTCTTTAAAATACCTGTTGAATACCTAGGGTTTAGTATCAACTTCTATACAGAACAAGAATTTCAAAGCTGACGTACACTCTTTTGATTCTTTCGGGGGTAGGGGAAGTGAAGAAAATGATCTTCCTTCTGTCTTGGGCAATATCTTTCACTTTACTGTAGTTACTTTTAAATTGAAAGGATACATTCTAGACCACATTCTACTTCCTTTCCCTCCTGCCAATCCAACTCCACAGTTGCCCTTACACCTTATCTCTGCCTGCCTGCTCTGAACAGTATTCCTTCTCCTCTGGACTTTCCCTTATTTGCTCTAAAGAGAATAAAATTGAACAAACTACAGGATAGGAAAGGATAGTTGTGCTGTTCACAATAACAGTGTGTAAAGCTCAGCCGAATCAGGCAGTGTGTGCTATGCTACATCTTTGGATGCTGCACGCTTCCTTGTCTTGTCCTCTTATGCCTCTCTTCACCCATGTAACCGATGACCGGTTTTCAATTTAATGCTGCCGTCTTTCTCTTGCACTGCCTTCTGCTCTGACACCTCCATTCCTGTTTATAACAGTGTATTTATTACTTAATGTATATAATGTAATGTTTTCTAAATTATTAATTTATATATCCCAACATTGCCTGCCAATGGTGGTGTCACATTTGTGTAAAAAACAACCAACCAACAACAACAAAAAGCCAACTCTGCCTAAGAGTTGTGACTTTTTCTTGTAACATTTTGTATTGTGTGTGATGATATAACCTGAACATCACTTAAGAAAGACATACTGGCCCCTTGCCATTGAGGACATTGGTGAGCGTATTCAGAGTCTGGCCTTGTGCTTGTCTGAATTGCGAATACTGTGCAACCCCCTTGGGACATGGTTTTGGAAACAGGATTCTCCCAGCATTAGATACTACATGGTTTATATGGAACTTTTTCTTTTGTATACTTTGTTAGGGGTAGGGGGCAGTAGAATGTGGTTTTTACCATATTTATACAAATCTGTGTATACATGAGCTGGGTTATAACAGGGTTTTACTGTAATTGTGGCTTCAGCTTAGAAAGTAACACTACATTTGCTCAAAAAAGATCCCTTAAAGTATTCACAAACTACTGACTTTGAAGAGAATGCCTCCTGTCTGCCACTAAGCAGGAGTGTCGTGTTCCCATTAATTATATAAAAAAAGAATAAAACAATGTGAATTTCTAAAAAATAAAATGTGAACTGATGTCGTAAATTATGCGAATGTGAAGCTTCTTCCGATAACACTTGTTAAGCCTCTTACTGGCGGTAATCTGTTTGTAAAATATGTTTCATGCTTTCAGTTCAACATTGTGACTGAATAGTTAACGAAAGTGGCACAATTGTGCATGACCAATGGGTTTGTATGTCTGTATTGAACACTGCATTATTTCAGGTGGATATTTTATTGTCTCCAAAAGTTTTTCACAATGTATGTTATAGTATTATTATTCTATATTGTGCTCCAATGCATTCTTAAGAGACTTTTATATGAAGTGAATAAACAAAAGCATGATTAGATTAGATTGTAGGCCCCATTATTTCATGGTTAGTTTGGATGTATTATTATTATTATTATTTTGGTCTTATCATACCTCAAAAAGAAATCCAAGCACTTTGCCGGGCCATCATTGCAAAGGAAGTTTCAGTTTGTCTAAATAGTCCCCTAGCTTGAAACGTTTTATTTTCCTTAGCAACTATTCACTCAGCTCAATGATGCAGGAAAGGAAGCAAACAAAACCGCTGTGTTCAGCTCCTACAGTTTCCTTCCACCTTTTAAAAATATTAATGTTTAATCTACTAGACAAAGGGAATTCCCAATTGGCTGGGGTCCTCTAGAAAAGTGAATCATAGGATCACAGAGCACTAATGCAACGTCAGCAGACTTTTCCATTGATTCATTTCACAGATGAAGTATCTAAGGTCCAAACAATCACCTGAAATCACAGTCCACAGACTGCTGGTGGGGAAATCTATTGAATGTAAGGTTATACTTTTATTTCTGGAAAGAACGTTTTTAAATGACTAGTTGCTAAGCAAAATTCTTAATTGCTTTATTGAAATCTCGCAGTTGGCATTTAAAATATTGTTTCCTGGTGTGTGTGTGTATCATGGGGAAGGTTGCAAACAAGAATCAAGTGTACAGCCCGCAATAATTTAACCCCAAAGAAGAAGTCTATGATCAAGTAAGAGAGTCTGCTTTAGAAGAAAGACACTCAGTAAGCTGAATTTACTTTATTCCTTTATAAAGGCAGCTGGAGATGAGGCACTATTCACATCCAGCTTGCCACCATTCCTGCTTTCTGATTACACACCAGCATTTCTGAGCTTCTACACACTGAAGGACAAATGTGAATTGCTTGAAGTCACCACACATGTGACTTTTATGATGTCTAGAGCTACAACCACCCTGAATGTGCCCCGAATGCGCCCGATCTCATCTGATCTCAGAAGCTAATTAGGATCAGGCTCGGTCAGTACTTGGATGGGAGACTGACTGCCTGGGAATACCAAGTGCAGTAGGTTTTTTTTCTGGAGTCTTGTGTGGGGCTGTGGATTAATGCGCTGGACTGCAAAGTCAGTTGGAACTGCAAGGTTGGTGGTTCAAGTTCACAAGCTGCTTCTCAGAAACCCTATGCGGTATCACTCTGGGTCAGAATCAACTCAACGGCACTCAACAACAACAGAGTTATAAACATTTAGAAATATGTACAGGGAAGTGGTTCTTAGGCCTGGGTGCAATTGAAAACCACATGGAGAATACATATTTTTCAAAACACTGATGTCTGTGTGAGGAACAACATCTTAGGAGACCTTTGTGCTATAATGGCTACATTTATGCCCTTTAGATGCTTTCCTTCATTTGTCTTTACAAAAACCCAATGAAACAGTTTCTTTTATTTCCCTCAGATGAGGAGGGAACTGCAGCTTAAAGAAGTTAAAGAAATTGCCCAAAGTTAAGAAGCTAAGAACTGGGAGAGCAGGGATTTGAATTTACTCCCAGGTTTTTGATATGATTGGGCTTGGGTGGCACCCTGGACAGCCGATCATTCTAATTTACAATCTAAGTGAAGAACATGTACTCCAGAACAGAGAGTCATGCTTGTAACTACGGCTTTCTTTTGCAACGCTGGTACCTTCCCCCGCATGTGATTAGACATTCACTATTCAGTCATTATGACCAGGCACTGGTTCAGACAGGAGGAGGAGCATGGGTCTGAGATGAATAAGAGGCTTTCTGCACTCCAGAAAATTGCAATCTGCTATTGTTGCTTATCACTTGCCTTCCAGAACTCACAACCATAATTATGTTCTGAGAAAAACCACAATGAAGATAAATCTAAAAGAAAATTAATCATTTGGTTCCAAAACACAGACCATAAGTGAAGCAGTCCTCCCCCTCCTACAGTAATGTCCTTGATGGCAGCAAGTTGCTCCCAAAGCATAAATTACTATGGCACTTTTGCCCAGATGAAGGATGATAACTTGAATTCACTGCCATGGAGCCAAGTCTGACTCATAGATACCCCATGTAGGGTTTCCAAGACTGTAAATCTTTACAGAAGCAGAAAGCCTCCTCTGGCTCCCACGAAGTGACTGGTGGATTCAAACTGCTGACCTTGCAGTTAGCAGCCTGACGCATAACCCACAATACCACCAGGGTACCCTGAGGATGATAGTTTGGTACATTCAAACAAACAAACAAACAAACAAAAACACGTATAGAAACCTAAAACTGAATAATAGGATAATAGTTTCTTTCATGAATTCTAAAACTAAGTAGATTGAATTCAAATCCTAGACTCTCTACTTACTAACTGTATAGTGTTAGACAAGTCACCTTCTATCTGTGCATAAGGAAAATGGGGATAAAAAAATGCAGGTCTTGGTCCATTATTTCATTGCGACTTCTCTGATTTTCATGGCCATTTGTTGTTGTTGTTAGGTGCCATCAAGTCAGTACTGACATATAGTGACCTCATGCACAACAGAACAACACACTGCCTGGTCCTACACCAACCTCACATCCATGGCTACGCTTGAGCCCATTGTTGCTTCCACTGTGCCAATTCATTTAATTGGGGGTCTTCCTCTTTTTAGCTGATGTTCCACTTTATCTAGCATGATACCCTTCTTCAGGGACTGGTCCCTTCTGTAACATGTCTGACGTATGAGAGACAAAGTCTGGCTGTCCTGGTTTCTAAGGAGCATTGTGACTGTACTTCTCCTAACATAGATTTGTTTCTTCTTTTGCGAGTCTACTTTTGGGGTCCTGGTGTGACACTGTGGGTTAATGAGCTGGACTGCAAGGTTGATTTGAACCTCAAGGTCGGTGGTTCAACCTCACCAGCTGCTCTTCGGAATCAACTCAACAGCACTTAACAACAGTACTTTTAATATTCTCCTCCAACACCATAACTCAAATGCATCAATTCTTCTCCAGTCTTCTTTATTCATGGTCCAACTTTCACATGCATATGAGGCTTTTGAAAAATACCATGGCTTGGGTTAGGCTCAAACTGACATATTTGCTCTTGAACACTTTAAAGAGGCCTTGTGCAGCAGATTTGCCTATTGCAATATGTCATTTGATTTCTTCACTGTTTCTTCCATAAGTGTTGATTATTGATCTAAACAAAATGAAGTCGTTGAGAGTTTCCATTTTTTTTTCCATTTATCTGGATGGTATTTGTTGGTTCAGTGGTGAGAACTTTTGTTTTCTTTACATTGAGGTACAACCCATGCTGAAGACTATAGTCTTTGATCTTCATCTGTATTTTAAGTCCACTTCATTTTTGGCAAACAAGGTTATATCATCTGCATATCACAGGTTGTTAACAAGTCTTCCTCCAATCCTGATGCCACATTTTTCTTCATAGAACCCAGCTTCTCGGATTATTTGCTCAGCATACAGGTTGAATCAGTATGGTGAAAGATTAAATAACTATTTGCTCAGCATACAGATTGAGTAACCTTGGAGCACACTTTTCCTAATTTCAAACCATTTAGTGTTTCCTTGTTCTGTTTGAATAACTACCTCTTGGTCCATGTACAGATTCCTCATGAGCACAATTAAGTGTTCGGAATACATGTTCTCTGTAATGCTGTCCATAGCTTGCCATGATCCATACAATCGAAAGGCTTGTCATAGTCTATAAAGCACAGGAAATCATCTTTCTGGTATTCTTTGCTTTCAGCCAAGATCCATCTGATGTCAAAAATTATATTCCTCATTCCTTGTTCTGGTCTGAAAATGGCTTGAACAGCTGACAATTCTCTGACAATGTACTGTTGCAACCGTTTTTGTAATATCTTTAGCAAAATTTTACTTACATATGATATTAATGGTATTGTTTGATAATGTCTGCATTCCATT